GGTGTGTTTCGTTTAAGAGGTCAGAGATGCAGGCGTACAATAGTTTAGAATTATCATATTGCAGGCATTGACTTTTGAATGTTCACACAATAACTTTGAGTTTGCATGTGTCTAACAAGTATATACTCCTACATATGAGATTTCTAACGCAGGCCTTATAATCATAATGTTTTAATCATTTCTGGTGTCCCCCGCCGTGATATTGCTGGAATATTGCGACAAGCGGCGTAAAACTACATTCACTCACTCACCTAACGAAATAGTGTTAAACCCACGGCACAGACACAGTGCTTGCTTTACATCCGAATGAAATTGGGGTGCTGGGGTAGCCTAGTAGTTAAAGCGTTCGCTCGGCACGCCGAAAACCCGGGTTCGATTCCCGACATGGGTACAATGTGTGAATCCCATTTCTGGTGTCCCCCGCCGTGATATTGCTGGAATATTGCTAAAAGCGGCGTAAAACCATACTCACTCACACACCTAACGAAATAGTGTGAAACCCCAGGCATATATACAGTGTTTGCTTTACATCTTAAAGAAATAGGGGTTTTGGGGTAGCCTAGTAGTTAAAGCGTTCGCTCGTCACGCGTTCATTCACTCACTTAAAGAAATAGTGTGAAACCCACGGTACAGATATAGGGCTTCCTTTACATTCCAACGAAATAGCTTCTGTCTTCATTCTGTCACTGTGTGCGGTTATTTCAAGTGTGTCTCAGGATCCCCGAATAATGGGGATCAGGTGGTCACAATGTCACCTGGATCATTATATGTTAGATAATGTGTCATCTACTGTGGTGGTCATTCATCACACCTCTGGTTTGCCTTGTCCACAAACGATCACTTACAGGCCCAGGTGATGTAGATGGAATATTGCTGACATAGGTAGTAAAACAACATTATTTCACTTTAAGAAAACAATCTTCACCAAAGAGACAAAGAGAGTAGCAGATATAAACTGTGGCGTCAACAAAGCGTAAAGACAGGTAACACTGCGTTATGTGATTATACTACATTATTCTTTACAAATAGGTATGCTATATCAGATATGAACTTTGTCGATCCATTGACAATACATATGCTATATCACATATATATCTGCCGATCCGTTTACAATAGGTATGCTATATCACATATATATTATACATATACTATGCTATATCAGATATGAACTTTGTCGATCCATTAACAATACATATGCTATACCGCATATATCACATCCATATCTGCCGATATATATATATATATATATATATATATATATATATATATATATATATATATATATATATATATATATAGCACAGTAAAGTTCTAACTCTCAGGCACAATTTAGTATGGGTACAATGTGTGAAGCCCATTTCTGGTGTCCCCCGCCGTGATGTTGCTGGAATATTGCTAAAAGCGGCGTAAAACCATACTCACTCACTCACTCACTCACTCACTCACTCACTCACAATTTAGTTATAATTAAAAAAGTGGAGTAAGATTGAACACACTTTTAATTGGCTAGCGCTTACAACTCGTACTACGAGTCTCACCAGGCCATAACTGAATAACGGACATGAAGTTGTAGCATATAGATAACCTCCGGATTGGGCGTAAGTGTAGGTGTAAACTTTAAACCTTTTTCCTTAAACTGACTTCATTTACACTGTGGGGATGACGAGACAGGTTTATGATTTTGGGATCTTTTACTGCTAACAATACCATTACTATACTAATATCCTAGTACCAACTAGTGGTGTAACGATACGGCAATACAGTATTGTATCCCGATGCACAGCCCACGATACGATGCATCGATTTGGAAAGCATGTATCGCGATACATACGATATTTTCATAACACAGTTTTACCTACCGTATTTTCTTGAGTATAGTGCGCACTTTTTTCCAAAAAACACAGCTGTGTAGAAAGGGTTGCGCATTATACACGAATTAATGAGTTTTGATGTTTTTCCCCCATGGAAAGACATTACCGTGAGCACGTAACACCGGAAATACCATGTCAACAAATCCATACTGAAGTTCGCAAATTATTCATGTAATTACACTGTCTGGCTATAAAAAAGTGTTCTTTGTATATCTGGACTCATGTTTGTAACTTATTTCATTAATTTTATTCAAAATTCCTTTTAATATTGTTTTAATTTTTCGGCGAAATCGTGTGTGAAGCGATCGGAAGATCGCACAACTCACCGTTATTAACAGCAACAACCACGGTCAGATTACCGCTATTGACGCCTTGAAAGGAATTTTAGTTGACAGAGAATGGATACATATATCATAAATGCCATACTTTGATTCGTTAAAAGTCATATTTGTTTTTGTTGGACGATTCTATGTCAACACGTAATTCTCGCGATCACGTGCACGGGAACCTTGACGGTGACTGGTCAGACTGGTTCCATGTAAAAAAAATAACACCCGGCAATAGCGATCAGCTGCTTCGCTTGGGATTATTATAATTTTAAATATGTTTAGTAAAAGCTGCATCTAAATTAACAATGTATTGGAATATATTATTCCTGATAAAAAAAATAGTTTCAGATACAACTTTTGCCGATCCTTGCATTAAAATACTGTGAAGTTATATCATTGGGTGTGTCTTGACCGAATCACCGGTAGATTCCAAGAAAACGTGTTTACATGCACAGCTGATTGCTGTGTCCGGCTTAGTTTACGAGAAAATACACAAGGTAACCTTAATCTCTGGATATAAAACTATGCCTAGCTGAACAAAAAATACAATTTAAACGGTAAATCAACATGTCTTGTGATTTTTTTATCTCAAATTTAGAATTTGTACTGACGAAGATTCTCTCATCACCCGTTCGTTTGCCGGACTTCGCTGAAGGGGTACGGTGTAATTTTCTTCTGCGCATAATATTCAAATATCTTTTTTTCCAAAATATTGAACCCGCTAGAGGGGCGTGCGCATTATACATTGGTGCGCACTATACTCAAGAAAATACATGAAATACATGGGCGGATACAGCTTTTTTGAAAAGGGGGAGGGGGGGGGGGGGGGGGGAGGTGCACAATTAAGATCTATTTATTGTCTTTGGTGGTAATTTATACAGAAATAAGTTTTTTTTCGAAATAAAAAGGGGGGGGGGGGTGCGCCCATGAAATACGTTTAACAGTATTGCTGACAATTTGCTATAACAGTAAATAAACACCTTATATCTTCTTCAACTGTACTTGTCACATCTTTTAGATAGCAGAAAGACATCAACTTGGCTTAGCTTGTTCGAGTAAACACTGTATCGTATCGCGACCCTCCCCTATCGTTACACCTCTAGTACCAACACTAATGCACACAATAAATAAGTGACAACATGGATTTGCATGTATATGTACAAATGCCACTCAATGTTTCTTTCAATTCAAGGGCCGCCTCCGTAGTCTAGTGGTAGAGCGTCCGCCCGGAGAGCGGAAGGTCCGGGGTTCGATCCCCGGCCGCGTCATACAAAAAGGAGTTAAAAGATTGTACTTGTTGTTACCCTGTCTGGCGCTCGGCATTAAGGGGCTAAAACAAGGACTGGTCGGCTCGGAGTCAGTACACTGTGTCTGAGTGGGGTATTCATGTTAAACTGCGGCATGGTATCTCAGTGAGCTAGTACAATAAATCGGCATCAGTCCGGACTAGTACAAGCAGCCACACACAATCATACAAGTAAAAAAATCTTGGACGCGACGTTAAACCCAATTTCACCTCACCTCACCTTTCAATTCAAAATATATGCATCAACTTCCCCAGCTGCTTAGGTATGTTCACTGTACTTTACAGTCTACGAGAGGACATTTCCTCTGTCTCTTTCAAATCAAATACAATTTATATACTAACACGTCCACAGTCTTTATGTACAGTCAATATCAATGCATTGTTTCAGTCAACCAGAAGAGACTTCCTCTGTATAGGACCGCCTCCGGTTACCCGTCTGGCGCTCGGCATTAAGGGGCTAAAACAAGGACTGGTCGGCTCGGAGTCAGTATACTGTGTCTGAGTGGGGTATTCATGTTAAACTGCGGCATGGTATCCCAGTGGGCTAGACTAGTTCAAGACAACACAGACACACACACACACACACACGTGTCGCTATATAAGTGCAATAAGCTTGGACGCGACGTTAACCCCAATTTCACTTCACAAGGTTAGATTCCTAAAGGGAAGCGGGACTAGGTGTGGCTGGGAGCTGGGGTTTTGTTTTTGTTTGTTTGTTTGTTTGTTGTTTAACGCCGCACTCAGCAATATTCCAGCTATATGACAGAGGTCTGTAAATAATCGAGTCTGGACCACACAATCCAGTGATTGACCTCATGAACATCGGTCCACGCAATTGGGATACGATGACATGCATCAACCAAGCCAACGAACCTGACCACCCGATCCCGATAGTCGCCTCTTACGACAAGCCTAGTCGCCTCTTACCACAAGCATGGGTTGCTTAAGACATATTCTACCCCGGATCTTTACGGGTGTTTCACATCAGCGTTCGAAATACCTGCCTGCCCGACCGTCCGAGACGGGTTGATTTCAACTCGGGCTGCCAGATTTTCAAATCCCCCTGCCCGACGGTCGGGTTATATTTCATATGTAAAAATATTCTAAATATTTCCCGATGATAAGCATTATTTACATGATGTATTCTAGCATATTAAATACAAATCTGACCTAAAAAGTGTTTGCTATTTCTTTTCTTGCATTACTTCATGTTCAATGAATTCGATTTAAATTTTAATTAAATTATCCTGAGAAACATATGATTATAGTGGGCAGGCAGGTTTTGATCAGGGCTGGCAAGTATTTCAGCTAGCCAGTCCTGTGGTCTGGCTGAAAATTTTGGGAGTTTCATACCCTGCTCACATACATACATTCTTATTAATACTTCGAAATATATTTTGTCAGTTTAAAGCACACGTTCCAACATACAGATAGACTTACTTATAAATACCTCTAGATGTGAACATACATATCTCTCGGATCCCTTAATGAAACAGCAGTTACCAGTTAACTCCAATTAAATCGTCTATTTAACATTTGGAAAAGTTTTACATTGTGGGGCCTGAAAAAGTCGTCAAGTATTTTCATCAGAGACTTCTTGAACTCTGGATGTTTTCTTCCTTTAGAAGCACCAAGGCACTTCTCATTCGTTACATTAATTCTCATGCAGTAAAATCCACGACTCGTATTGAAATATAACATGTTGGAGGTTATCCGATGCTCAATGCCGAGGAAATGTTCAATCGGGGAAATTTCAGCTACAGGGTCGATGATTAGGTTTTCACCGTCCACAATATGAATTTGGTTCCTGGGAAATACGAAGAACCATCTCGAAAAGAACTGATGATAAATGCTGACTTGCACGGCCTGTAATTGAACATTAATCTCACGTGTTAAGGGGTCTAGAACGAACGTTTCAAAATCAACATGGGTCTTGTTGCGTTTGACTCTTTTATAGTGTGACTGTAAATAATCCGATACCAGTCGAGTCATTGGATTTCGTAATATTACCAGGAGTTTGATTGAAGTGTTTAAACTTTTAACTTTTTCAGGCACCCTATGGTCAATGAAATATCGGGGGCTTTTCTCCACTGTGTATTGGTTGGCACGTGATCTCGGCATTGTGCTGAGATACCACTCAATGCCTCGTCCATAGTTGCTGTCGTCGTCAAAAAATGATCTTCACGTTCAGACGTTTCCACGTGTGGATGAAGATCTAAATACCCAAGCAGAGCCTTTGTTCCACACTTCTGCACGCCAATTATAATACACTGAGGCAGCCGCCGTTCCCGTGCGGGCCCAAGGAAAGTGATGATGTTGAGGTTGTACATGTGGTGAGTGTTGATGGTGATGGTGTCACTGCAGTACAGCGCCAGAGAGAAAACGAGGATCAGCGGAACCCAGACAAGCCATGACATTTGAAACCGACTTAATTCATGGAAACAGTTTGATTGACACATCTTCAAAATAACCATCGCGTTGACACCAAACCAGTCACCTGGAAGATATAAGCAAATGTGCGCATATACGTCAACGTATTCACGTATTATAAGTCGGTGGTAAATGTCGGACGAAAATGATAGGATGAGTCTGAGAGTTTTGTTTAAGGCTCTGGTTTGACCAGCAACACATTTACTTCAGAGGGCCCAGCATGTCCCGCGAGAGATATCTTTATTCTGTGATCGGTCCATAATGTGTTCAGTTATTATATCTATCCATGACAGTTACATCCCCGACAGTTTCCCACATAGGCAGATATATATCACAACTTCTGTTGTATGCCATCATACATGAGTGAGTGAGTATGGTTTTACGCCGCTTTTAGCAATATTCCAGCAATATCACGGCGGGGGACACCAGAAATGGGCTTCAAACATTGTACCCATGTCGGGATTCGAACCCGGGTCTTCGGCGTGACGAGCGAACGCTTTAACCACTAGGCTACCCGACCGCCCCCCATCATACATGACGGCTACTGAGTATGTCATTATACATGACGGGTACTGTGTATGTCATTATACGTGACGGCTACTGTGTATGTCATTATACATGACGGCTACTGTGTATGTCATTATACATGACGGCTTCTGTGTATGCCATTGTACATGACGGGTACTGTGTATGTCATTATACATGACGGGGACTGTGTATGTCATTATACATGACGGCTACTGTTTATGTCATTATACATGATGGGGACTGTATATGTCATTTTACACGACGGCTTCCGTGTATGCTATTGTACATGACGGCTTCTGTGTATGTCATTATACCTGACGGGGACTGTGTATGTCATTATACATGACGGCTACTGTGTATGTCATTATACATGACGGCTACTGTATATGTCATTAAACATGACGGCTTCTGCGGATGTCATAATACACGACGGCTTCTGTGTATGCCATTATACATGACGGTTACTGTGTTTGTCATTATACATGACGGGGACTGTGTATGTCATAATACACGACGGCTTCTGTGTATGCCATTATACCTGACGGGGACTGTGTATGTCATTATACATGACGGCTACTGTGTATGTCATTATACCTGACGGGGACTTTGTATGTCATTATACATAACGGCTTCTGTGTATGCCATTGTACATGACGGCTACTGGGTATATCATTATACATGACGGGGACTTTGTATGTCATTATACATGACGGGGACTGTGTTTGTCATTATACATGACAGGGACTGTGTATGTCATTATACATAACGGCTTCTGTATATGCCATTGTACATGACGGCAACTGTGTATGTCATTATACATGACGGGGATTGTGTATGTCATTATACCTCACAGGGACTGTGTATGTCATTATACATGACGGCTACTGTTTATGTCATTATACCTGACAGCTACTGTGTATGTCATTATACCCGACGGGGACTGTGTATGTCATAATACACGACGGCTTCTGTGTATGCCATTGTACATGACGGCTACTGTGTATGTCATTATACATGACGGGGACTGTGTATGTCATAATACACGACGGCTTCTGTGTATGTCATTATACATGACGGGGACTGTGTATGTCATTATACATGACAGGGACTGTGTATGTCATTATACATAACGGCATCTGTGTATGCCATTGCACATGACGGCTACCGTGTATGTCATTATACATGACGGGGACTGTGTATGTCATTATACCTCACAGGGCCTGTGTATGTCATTATACATAACGGCTTCTGTGTATGCCATTATACATGACGGCTACTGTGTATGTCATTATACATGACGGCTACTGTGTATGTCATTATACCCGACGGGGACTGTGTATGTCATAATACACGACGGCTTCTGTGTATGTCATTGTACATGACGGCTACTGTGTATGTCATTATACCTGTCGGGGACTGTGTATGTCATAATACACGACGGCTTCTGTGTATGTCATTGTACATGACGGCTACTGTGTATGTCATTATACCTGTCGGGGACTGTGTATGTCATTATACATGACGGCTTCTGTGTATGCCATTGTACATGACGGCTACTGTGTATGTCATTATACCTGACGGGGATTGTGTATGTCATTATACATGACGGCTTCTGTGTATGCCATTGTACATGACGGCTACTGTGTATGTCATTATACATGACGGGGACTGTGTATGCCATAATACACGGCGGCTTCTGTGTATGCCGTTGTACATGACGGCTACTGTGTATGTCATTATACCTGACGGGGACTGTGTATGTCATTATACATGACGGCTTCTGTGTATGCCATTGTACATGACGGCTACTGTGTATGTCATTATACCTGACAGGGACTGTGTATGTCGTAATACACGACGGCTTCTGTGTATGCCATTGTACATGACGGCTACTGTGTATGTCATTATGACTGAGGGCTACTGTGTATGTCATTATACCTGACGGGGACTGTGTATGTCATTATACATAACGGCTTCTGTGTATGCCATTGTACATGACGGCTACTGGGTATATCATTATACATGACGGGGACTGTGTATGTCATTAAATATCACGGGTACTGTGTAGGTCAAATATAGATAATAGACATACATATCATAATATACACAGTGGCTGTGAATTATAAGCTGAGTTTGATAATTTCATTCACAGTTTCTGTGAATTATAATTACCTGCAAAATAGATATGTTATATCATGACCCACACATTAGCTGTTTTGGATAATTACTTACACAGTAGCTGGGTTATATACTAGTAATTACCTGCACAAGAGATATGTCATATTATGACCCACACAGTAGCTGTGTTTGATAATTACTTACTTAATAGCTGGGCTATGTAATTACGTACAGAATAGATAATATTATGTTATATCATGACACACACAATAGCGATGTTTGGTAATAACCTACACATACTCACCATGCAGGATCAAACGTTCGAATTCTGTGACATCTCCTGACTCCAAATTAACTTCCCTATGCTCATATCAGTGAAATCTCACGTGTATATGTAGGAGTGATACCTTACAGATAAGTGCAACATACTTTGGCACGAAATATCGTCTTGCCATTAACAGGATCATTGGAAACTTATACCAAAGAACAAGGATATGATGTTGGTAGCCAAGGGCGAATCTAGGATTTCAACACGCGATAACTGGCTTGTAGCCCATACTCTTGTAGAAGTAAATGAACCTACAAATCACACATCCAGCCACAAAAAATAACTAAATAAAGGATCGCATTAATTGAACTGAATTTCAGTGGTCGTGAGATGTATGTTGAACAACAATGATGACACCCAGACAACTGTCGAACATCGTGGGTACTAGTCACCTTGCAGAAAGTTTGCCCAGTTTGTGGCGAGTTGCAGGGGAATGTTTTTGTTTGTTTGTTTGTTTGTTTAACGCCGCACGCAGCAATATCCAAGCTATATTGACGGCGGTCGGTAAATAATCGAGTCTGGACCAGACAATCCAGTGATTGAAGACATCAAGAGCATCAATCCACGCAATTGGGATCGATGACACGCATCAACCAAGTTAGCGAGCCTGACTGCCCGATCCCGTTAGTCGCTTCTTACGACATAGTCGCCTTTTACAGCAATCATGGGTTGCTGAAGACGTATTCTATCCCGGAACTTCACGGGTCTGCAGGAGGATGACTCATGCATGTTTATCTAAATCTAACAGAATCATGTCCAATGAAGTTCAGATCCGGTCATTACGTAGGCGAAAGCAGTACCTTTGCGTTGACATTCCCATCAGAATCCAGTGACACATGGGAATGTAATACCATTCCTACGCACAAAGGGTGCAACAACTGGCCCAAAAAGACACCAAGACAACGATTCCCAGTGCGTGGACCACCCCTTATTCCATGAAAACGGTAAGAAAACAAACACAAGGAGTTAATCAATTTACAAAGTTCACAATCTGAAAATAAGTTTCATGTTCTTGTCAGTCTTTATATCCTAGACGGGGCGGTCGGGTAGCTTAGTTGTTAAAGCGTTCGCTCGTCACGCCGAAGACCCGGGTTCGATTCCCGACATGGGTACAATGTTTGAAGCCCATTTCTGGTGTCCCCCGCCGTGATATTGCTGGAATATTGTTAAAAGCGACGTAAAACCATACTCATTTTAGATCCTAGTCACTGAGGAAACTGAATCATACACTGTAACGAATATAACTGTTGCAATAAGTAAAATCTATGTTACTCTCCTATAGTCATTTCATTAGGAGAATAGTACTGCCATGAGTACGGCAGATTTCCTTGCTTTAATTGTTCGACACGATGTCAGTGTTGAACACGCCTGCCACGCCCATTATCCAGAATTGATAATGGTGAATTACGGAACGTATAGTTGAACAGACTCTCATTTGAGTAAATGCTTTATGGTGTTTTAAGCAGTTTCCATCAATATTCCAGCAATATCACTGCGAGGGGCACCAACAATTGGCGCAATGTACCCACGTGCTGATGTTGGGAATCGAACCTGGGCCTTCGTCCGTTTTAATTACCATGAGCATATATTTTACCAATTAACTTTGAACCTGACGCAACTCCAGTGGACATGACTTAAATTCCAAGAACCCGTGTATCGTTGGGATGAATGCAAGGTGCGCATGGATGATGATACTTTACGTGTCAGCACTATTAACTCGCTCGAAGACGACCACATTGCTGATTACACATGGATGGTTTGGGGAAGTGACGACTACTTTGTAATAATACAAAGGAAATACCTTTCATTTGTTTCACCAAGATTCCTATGTGATGTTTCATATACACATAGTCGTGTCACTGATCCATAGAGAATGTTTTTACGCCGCGTTTCGCTGTCATTTAGACAAATCACGACGTGAAGACCATGTAGTTTCACGCATTGCACTCGTGCACTCCTGGGGCTTGAGCATTACGATTTGGTTTGTTTGTTTGTTGTTTAACGCTGCACTCAGCAATATTCCAGCTATATGACGGCGGTTTGTAAATAATCGAGTCTGGACGAGACAATACAGTGATTGATATCATGAGCATCGATCCACGCAATTGGGTTCGATGACATGCTTCAACCAAGTCAGCGAGCCTGACCACCCGATCCCGTTAGTCGCCTCTAACTACAAGCATAGTCGCCTTTTACGACAAGCATGGGTTGCTAAAGAACTATTCTACCCCGGATGTTCAAGGGTCTGTGAAACTTGGTAAACATATTCACCATATAGTGGAGATGTGCCTTTTACTATTTATGATTTCCTATTATTTTCATTTTGTATAGACTTGAATTAAGTAGAAGCAATCTTTACAATGCTACCTCAGTTCTGTTATGGCCTTCTTCGTGGAAATCTGTACAATATCAGTACAATATCAGTACAATATCAGTCTCAGGCTTTTATAGAGTCTTTGATACTTACCGATTATAAGATATTGTTATATCGTCTTATTATCAAAACTCCCAACAGTGATAGATGACCACAACCATGCTTGGGGTGAATGCAAGATGCGCATGGATGATGATACTTTACGTGTCAGCACTATTAACTCGCTCAAAGACGACCACATTGCTGATTACACATGGATGGTTTGGGGAAGTGACGACTACTTTGTAATAATACAAAGGAAATACCTTTCATTTGTTTCACCAAGATTCCTATGTGATGTTTCATATACACATAGTCGTGTCACTGATCCATAGAGAATGTTTTTTCACCATATACAGTCTCAGGCTTTTATAGAGTCTTTGATACTTATCGATTATAAGATATTGTTATATCGTCTTATTATCAAAACTCCCAACAGTGATAGATGACCACAACCATGCTTGGGGTGAACTCGCAACCGAATGACCGTTATGTTTACAAACAAGTGGCGACTGTCGTGACGCCCTATACACTTACCGCTGCTAAATTACGTTCTTTGTTTGTCAATTTGAATTCCTATTTCATTAAAACTATCATGTAATTGATATAGTAAGAGTGAGTGGGTATGATTTTACGGGGACACCAGAAATGAGCTTCACACATTGTACCCATGTCGGGAATCGAACCCGGGTCTTCGGCGTGACGAGCGAACGCTTTAACCACTAGGCTTCCCGACCGCCCCGATATATTAAGAATGTAAGGGAGAAGTTGGTTGATTTTCCGTTAGTCTGCAATCTCGAACAAATTTGATTATACAAACAACAAAGCAAATTCATCTGGAAAACATGGTCAATAACAAACCTTTCAAAACAAACTATGATGGCCTTCCCAAAGACACAAACAAAAGGATGAACGTAACTACATTTGGGGTTAGAGGGCAAATTTCAAGATTCTTCGAGTAGCCGCGCCCACACTGGTGGCAGCGATATTATCGAGAGTGTGACGACGGTGTCACGCGTTTGGAAGAAGCTTGAGTAACTGGTTGGTTGGTTTGTTGTTTAACGCCGCACTCAGCAATATTCCAGCTATATGACGGCGGTCTGTAAATAATCGAGTCTTCACCAGACAATCCAGTGATTAATTTTATGAGCATCGATCCATGCAATTGGGATCGATGACATGTATCAACCAAGTCAGCGAACCTGACCACCCGATCCCGTTAGTCGCCTTTTACGACAAGCATATTCGCCTTTTACGGCAAGTATGGGTTGCTGAAGACCTATTCTACCCCGGAATCTTCACGGGTCCTTGAGTAACTGGGGTGTCATGAGGGTACCAAACCTCTATTTGTACACTGGATGTCGCAGTGCAGTTTATCTGGTACGCGGATGCCATAATGTACTGGGTGGAATTTTTGTAATATTGTTATGAATGCAAAGAGTGACCAAAATATATAAAAGATATAGCCCTTAGCTTGTACGCTCGCATGGTCATGCCTTCTGTATGAAAATCTGATTTACTTGTACCAGCTGTACACATTGATAACACTTAAGAGTTCTTGAATTGGATCCCAAGGGAAATTAAGTGGTATGCTGGCTGCCTAGATGTGGTGGGTTGGCACCCTCCATCATTTGGAACACCTGCAACTCATTCTTTCACTTGACCATGAATACAGGAGGTAAGACCATTACAATGAGAAGTGGTTTGTCACAATTGGAACTGAAACATTAAAAGACCAACTCATACTGGTGAAGTGGCGCGTCTCAGCTGGAACTGAAACTTTGCAAGAATAACTCCTTATAGGAAGTAGCTCATCTCAACTGGAGATTAGAGACCAACTCATTTGAACAGAAAGTGGCGTGGCTCAACTGGAGCTGAAAGATCAACTTATCAGAGTAGGAAATGGCGCGTCTCAACTGACGCTTAAAGACAAACTCATTATGAAAGTTGGCTGGACTCAATTGGAGCTAAACCATTCTACACCAAATAGATCAGGATAGACACATTTTTTATGGATAAAAACTTCTTTAATACTGTGAAAAGCGACGTTTCGGTATAGATCTTATACCGTTGTCAAGTCCTTGCTTGACAACGGTATAAGGATCTATACCGAAACGTCGCTTTTCACAGTATTAAAGAAGTTGTTATCCATCAAAAATTGTGTCTATCTTGTCATCCGTCAACTTCTAAGTAATGCCTATCAAACAAGTTACCAAATAGATCATTATAAAATGTGCCTCTCAGCTGGAGCTGAAACAAAAGAGACCCATTGATAGAGATCTTAAACATTGAAAGACTATCTAATTATTGAAGTGGCGCGTCTCACCTGGAGCTTAAAACGCTACACACCAACTGATCATACCAGAAAGTGGCGCGTCTCAACGAGATCTGAAACATTAAAAAACTAACTCCTTACAGAAGTGGCGTGTCTTAACGGTATCTAAAATATTAAAACACCAACTGATAACAACAGGAGATGGCGGGTCTCAACTGAGCCAAACCTTAACAGGCCAATCAAATAGAAAGTGGTACGTCTCAAATGGATCTGAAACATTGAAAGACCAATTCATTAAAATAGGATTTTGCACATCTTAACTGGCATGGCGTGTCTCAACGTCATCTGAAACATTAAAATTAAAAGACTAACTCCTTTAGAAGTGCCGCGTCCCAACGTCCCATTATAACAGGAAGTGGCGCGTCTCAAATATGATCTGAAACAATAAAAGACTAAATCATCAGTATAGGAGATGGCACATTTCAATATGTCTTGATTTTGTTTTTGCAATGATCCTTTGGTAGTGAATAACAGATCGTCATACATCTCGACAAAATTTAATTGCCGGAACGGATTCGCACAACAGGCCCATAACTCGAAATCTTTGTTCTGACTATTGTGCTAAGTAAATGGTCAAACAGAGACAGTGTATCGCTTAATTTTATTCAAAAGCTTAGAGTTTTTTAATAACTCTCAATATAAGTGCAAAAGGATCAGACTTCCAGACGACCTCAGCTGACACAACAACTGCCTTTCTACGGTAACTGGGGTATCATTGGGTGTGGACAGCACCCGCAACTCATTCTTACACTTCACCATGAATGCGGAAGGTTATACTTTCCCCACTACTCGGAACATTCGGACCAGCAAAATACACCCCTATATCTACTGACCACATTCTTCACAGAGAAAGTCCAGCATAACATGGCTTTCTCAGAATGGAGCCCACGTGACCACGGACAGTTGCAGTGTGTAACCCATGTCCAGGCACCTTGGTCGTCTGGGTATAACCTACAATTGTAGAAGGACGCGTTTACATTCAGTCAAAGTCACGGTGACTATAGAAACTATATGGAGTTAATGTAACGCCGGGTTTAAACCACAATATTGAAAAACTGATACTATCAGGAAAAATAATCTGCTAAGTATTGCTCAAACATTAAACG